TTGTGAATCAAAAACCATCAACGGCTTAAGCAAAGGCTTGTGCCGGGGAGGGAGAACTTATGCCAGAGTCGATGCATATTTTATCACCGCTCTTATTCACTCGCAGCCCTTCTCCCTTCGAACGCCGTGCGGGTTTTAATTAAATAGTCATTGGTGAGGCTGTTATTCTAGCTTGGAAGGCCTCCAAATGGCCGTGTTTTTTCCCCAAAATGATCACAAGGGGATGTGCTCCCATCCCCCCTGTCCTCGCCAAGGTTCGTCTTCCGCAAATACCGCTAATTACGTTTGTCTGGCCGGCCGCCGGCTCTCCGATAGCATCTTTCATTAGCACTGACCTCTCTGCGCTCGCAAGGAGCTGGCTGACGTTCCCGGAGTGGTGCTTTGTGGATCTCGCCAAGAAACGTCCCTTTGGCACCGGGCAAGCAGGTCTGGGTCTTGCAAGCGATGGTGTCCTGTGGAGCCCTGGCTCGGTAATGTCTGCTTGCAAATGAGGTTACGAAGCTTGGGTGCAGCTCCCTGTCTATGCAACTCAAAGCTGAGAAGGGCTGAGGTCGGTGCCTCCGGGATCTGCTCTACCGCAGAGGTTGCCAGTGGCCGTGCGTGGGTGGTCAGCTTGGATTGGGTGCAGGAGGGGTGAAGAAATGAGTGGGAGAGGACACGGCATCTCTTCTTGGCTTTAAACATCTCATGGAGATTCTCCTGGTGGCAACGCAACCCATAGCAGCATAGATATTGCTGTAGGCAACTCTCCATAGTGTCTAGGAGAAACTGTGGCTGGGAGCTGAGTGGTCCCACCTCCTGTATCCCACCTAGAGATGCTGCGATGGGTCTTTCCCTTCCCTTGGCTTTGAATTCCCACCCAGCTCCTCAACCACCAACACGAGTTTGCTCCCGCTTGTCAGGAACGAGATACTTAATTTGTCAGTTGGCTACGCTTAATATTTCTTTCATGTATCGCGTCGGTTTTAAATGCAAAACATGTCTGGATAAGCTCACTTTTTTGCTTTTCGGGTTTTTTTTTTTCCACCCTGCTGCAGTCGACACATTGAAGGTAGCTGTGTTTAACTAATAAAAAAGATTTTAAAATGCTGGTTTTGCACTTCTTTAATTGACTTCCAATTTCCATTCACATGCAGCCTGGCACATTGCAAAGGAAAAAAGAGTGCCGAGCAAATAAGAAATGCGTCACTCGCTGGTTTTTTACCATAATCAAAAATGTAAAAATTAAGAATCTGAATCAATGTACATTAAACTATGTAATTGCCTAAATAAACGTGGCGGGGGTAGATAATGGGTCTTCCTGATTAGAAGAAAATATCAAATTTAGTGCAAAGGTTATATTCGGTTGCAAAGTAGTGTGGTTTAGCAGTTGCACCCTTCTTTTGGGGGATAAATCAAGCAGGGGAGCTCAGAGGGCGGCGGTGGGTCCGGGTGCTGGTGGAAGGATGAGGAAGCTGAGAGCATCTTTGGTGGCATCTTTGAGGGAATTATAGGGATGGAAGAATTGCTAGTAGATGGTGGAAATTGGTTTTCCCAGCTCTCACGAGCCCGGTGGTGGTTGTGTTTTCTCTTCCAGCACCCGATCCTGGTGGTCCCTGACCTGGTGAGGATCCTGGCTTGCAGCGACCCGTCTTGCAGCAAGGGAAGAAGTTCCCAAGAGCAGGACCCTCCAGGTAAACCCTTAGCCCAGAAGGGTTTATTACGGCCTCTTGATATTTATCATTAGTTGAACTTGCTTGAGGCGGTTTGTAGCTCCATGGGGCACGCTGCAGAGTTTTACTAGGATGCCCCGTGTGCCTCCCAACCCTTTTCCCTGTAAATTGTGGCTGCTTTGCCAACCTGATCAGCAAAAATAAATAATAACCCGATGTTGCAAGTGGCACTGAAACTGCTCAATGGTCATCCCGAGAGCTGCAAGCCCATGGTTTGAAGCTGCTGCCCATCGGTAGAAACACAGAAGTGGGTGTCCGGCAGTGTTGGAAATCAACAGCTGGGATCTGGTGGTGGTGGCAGGAGTCAGAGGGTGACACTCCTGTTGCCAGCACGCCTGCCAGCCCTCCAAAGGCTCCTCCCCTGCGCTGGCATTTGGGAGCAAAAAAACATCATCCAGGTCTAAGTATCGATTTGCTAAATAATAACCCGATGTTGCAAGTGGTACTGAAACTGCTCAATGGTTTTATGGTCATCCCAAGAGCTGCAAGCCCATGGTTTGAAGCTGCTGCCCATCGGTAGAAACACAGAAGTGGGTGTCCGGCAGTGTTGGAAATCAACAGCTGGGATCTGGTGGTGGTGGCAGGAGTCAGAGGGTGACACTCCTGTTGCCAGCACGCCTGCCAGCCCTCCAAAGGCTCCTCCCCTGCGCTGGCATTTGGGAGCAAAAAAACATCATCCAGGTCTAAGTATCGATTTGCATTTGTCCTTTCCCCTTTGCTTTCTCTTAACCGCAGCCAAAAGTCATTTTGCCATCAGCCACAGGGTCACCGCATGCTTTTTGCTCCAAACCTGGTTGTCCTTCCCTGCAGAACAAGCAGTGCTCCGGCACGGGATGTCCCCAATGCTTTTAATCTCCAAAATGCCTCCCCAGGCGAATTGTGTTAATATCGGAGAGTGCAGAAGCGGGGGGAGAGCTGCCCACCCGCGGTCGTTGCTATTCATCGCTCACCGTCACGCTGGGGAATGAGCTTGCTGCTGGGTTTTGACGTTGCAGCCTGGCAGCAAGGAGTTAAAGGAAAGGTGAAATATTAAGCGGAAGCAAAGAGGCACCCTGAGAAGGGCAGGATCCTGGGAAAGCTTTTCTGGGGATGAAAAAAAAAGGCTGTCACCTGGAAGGGCTCCAGCTGCCCGGCTCCCACCCAGCCTGCGCGGCCTCTGCTCCCCAGTGCCCAGCCTGCCGTGGCAGGGATGCCAAAGGGCATGAAACCAGGATACTGGTGGGGACAAAAGGCTTTTGCAGGTTGCAAAGGGGGTGGGCTGCTCCGGTGAAGCAGCCGGTACCTGAGGTTTTGCTGGGGGAAAAGTAGAAATGTGTTGGAGCATGTGTGAGCCCATCTTGTTATGCTTGCTGCTCTGAGCACCGGCTGTGGAGGTAGCTAATTAACAAAGAGTTAAATAATAATGATAATAAGGAGGTTTTTTGACTCATAAGGTTTACCAGCCCAGGCATCCCAGCACAGAGAGATGCTGGGATGCAGGAAGCTGCAGCCCTGGCACACGCTGGTCCTCCTGAGGTAGGAAGAGGTGGCCCCGGGGGTGGTGAAAGAGGCTGAACTGTGACAGCTTTTAGCACGAGGAGAGGATGTGTCACCCACCCTCCATCAGCAGAAGCAACGCACTATGGCTAATGAGTAAACCTCAATTAACGCAGCCTCCCAAGGTGTCCTAACATGGGTGGATGACACTGACCTCCGTAGGAAGCCCTTGAAAACACGAGGTCTCCAGGCAGTAACTGAGGAAATAATAAATACTTTTGAGAGCACTTTAAGAGAATATTAACCTAAGCTCTCCTAAACCACCTGAGCAGCAAGGCGTAAATAGCGATACTATGGGCCGCTCCAGCACCATCTCTTATCTCCAAGCGCTTCAAGCGCATCTGTGACTTCATGCTCATGACCTGCCACCAAGGAGGCAGGTACAGGAGGGTTTTGTCTGTCTGGGAACTGTTTTTGTCCGTCTGGGGCTGACAGATGACGGATGACAAGCCATTTGAGGGGAGGAAAATGCAATTACCCAAAGTAGGTTTTTGGCAGGACACAGAGACGGCGGAGTGAGGTTGGTGAAACCCGGGGAAAAGGGGATGAAAGACCGGCTGCTCACATCCAGGGCCCTGGTTTGCTTTTGGTTGCCTCCTCAGAGACATTGTGCAGTAATTAGCGTTGTAAAACAAACATGCATCGGCCTCTTTGTTCCCATTAGGCTTGGCTACGGCTTGAAATGATGCGCAACAGTAGCCCGTGGTTAATTTTACCAAATGTTCACTTTAATTTCATTTAAGACCAGCTGTCTATAAATCCATAGCGCCTATTTACATCAGGTGCATATAAATATATATATCTCTCTCTATAATCCTGTGCTGAGGAGAAGGAAACAGATAACAAGGCACTGGTAGGAGCAGTGCACTCTCTGGCCCCCAGCCTCCAACCCCGGGGTGATGTGCACGGTCAAGCCTGAAGGCTCAACGTTGGCTTGATGCCGATGGCAGTAATTAGCGTTGTAAAACATGCATCGGCCTCTTTGTTCCCATTAGGCTTGGCTACGGCTTGAAATGATGCGCAACAGTAGCCCGTGGTTAATTTTACCAAATGTTCACTTTAATTTCATTTAAGACCAGCTGTCTATAAATCCATAGCGCCTATTTACATCAGGTGCATATAAATATATATATCTCTCTCTATAATCCTGTGCTGAGGAGAAGGAAACAGATAACAAGGCACTGGTAGGAGCAGTGCACTCTCTGGCCCCCAGCCTCCAACCCCGGGGTGATGTGCACGGTCAAGCCTGAAGGCTCAACGTTGGCTTGATGCCGATGGGGCTGACCTTTGGGTCATACCTCCTTAGGTATCAAACCTGCCTGCTGCGTTCCTCCACCCTAAAATCCTCCATGTGTTACGTGTCCAGGTCAATATTAAACACCCGGTGTGTAAAGCAGGTACTTATTGGGCAGTGCACAGCTGGGAGCCTGCAGCGAGCCGTGGTTTATTTGCATCCAAGCAAGCACGCCTATGTTTAAATACCTCTAAGCAAACAAGTCCACCCAGCTCCTGCTTTGCTCTTCCTTGTGTCTTCAAGGCTGGGTTTACTGGCAGTATCCAAGGGCAGTCCATCTCCTTCCTTACTTAAGGGAGGATGCCTGCTTAATGGTGGGTATAGTTAATGTTGCCCCGATAGTGTTGGTCCCATGCTACGGTCATCTAGTGTGGGCTGGTGGCTTCTTCTACCAGCTTTCACCATCATGTCACATCTGAGCCACCACCACTGCTGCATGAGACTCTAGCCTGGATCCCTCAAACCTGCGTTTGTGGTGTCCCTCCCTCCGGCAGCACCAGGATGGCTGGGAGAAGGCTGCCGCGGGGCGATGGGAAGGGCTGCAGCTCCTTGGTCCCAAAGCGTGGTGAGATATGGTCAGCCAGGAAACGTATGTGGAAGTGCCGACCGATGCAGTGGACCAGGCTGCCCACCACCGTGCACTGGAAGCCAGAGAGGTCAGGCATGGCATAGGTGGCACACTCATACCATAGCTTGGCCTTGGTGCTGCAGCGGTAGACGCCAATGCCCGTGCTGCGGTGAAGGTCAAAGCGGTAGATGAAGCCATTGGTGCTCACCATCTCAGCTGTCCTGTCCTTGCCACCACCGGCCGGGCTGACCATCCAGCTGTTTGAGCGGGCGGCATAACGCAGCAGCACGTAGCGCAAGGTGCCCCCTGTCACGTAGATCTCCCCATCGCACACTGTGGCTGTGTGGGCCACAGCAAAGGTGTCGTGGGGCAGGGGTGCGGTGAAGGTCCAGCGGTCCTGCCGGGGGTCGTAGCGCTCCACTGTGTAGAGGCACTCACCACCGATGGCGTAGAGATGGCCATCCAAGGCCACAAGTTTGCAGTGCGGCCGTGCTTGGTTCAGGGGGCAGATCTCCCTCCAGATGTTGGTCAGGGGGTCATAGCAGAAGACACGGTTGGAGGGTCTCTGTGTCCGGCCCGTGCCCTCACAGCCGGCCACCACAAAGAGGTAGTTGAACATGCTGCACATGGCGCACCCCCGGGAGACCACCTCTGGTGGCACGTGGCAGAGGTGATGCCAGCAGTCCCTTTCGTCATCGTAGTAGCAGAGGCGACTGGTATGGAGGCCGGGCTCCTGCACGTTGATGTCTGCCACGGCCACGTACATCTTCCCCTTCAGCCTCCGCCGCAGGATGAGCTCCCGCTCGCCGGCGTTGAGGCGGCCATAGATGGAGGGTGTCCTCAGCACCTGCAGATAGTTGTCGCTCATCACCTTGTAGGCAGCCTCCTGGAGGTCACCAAGCTTCTGCGCCTTGGCTGTGCAGAGGACATCATAGCAGTTCCCCAGGTCCAGGTGGGTGGGTGGTGGCATTTGGAAGCGGTCAGCACTGGCCATCAGCCCTGGCCGGGGGCTTGCAGGTGGTGTGCTGGCTGGCATCGTGACCCCAAAACCCTCCATGGGCAGCTGGAGGTGGGGGCTGTCGGCGATCTGGAGGATGCTGTCCTTGCGGCCAGGAGATGGTGGCTCAGGGGAGATCTCCAAGCTCTGTGTGGGTGGTGGAACTACGGAGGAGGAGGCGGTGGGATCCTGCATTGCCAAAGTTGGGTCCAGCTCCTGGGTTGCAAAGTTCTGCAGCTCTTCATTGACCCGCTCCAAGCTGCGGCACTGGGATGTTCCTGGAGGGATGCAGGGGAGAGACCTCTTCTTCGACACCGACTGGGAGACGGACTGGATGTAGTAGTCATAGACTTTGCCTTTGAGGCTGGGGACTGGTTGCCTGGCCCCGTCCTTCACCTGCCGCTCAGCAATGTAGTTCTCCTCCACCTGGATCTTTGCGACTGAGGAGAAAGAGTAGGAGGCGTCCGACCCCACGTTGCTTGCTGTCATTGTTAGACCCAGGTCTGAGATGACGCTGAGGGTCTGGATCGTCCCCCTGCACCCCTCGGCCTCCTGGCTCATGCCTCTGCTGGCCAAATCCTGCTTTGTGCTTTGTGTGCGTCCGTCATCTGCCGTCTGGGCATTAGCAATCCCGGGGGAGAGCCCAGTGCCCTCTTCCTGGCGGCTGCTCGGTGTTTCGGCTGCATCCCAAAGGTCACAAGAGCTCAGCTTGCTTCCTGGCTCACTTGCCTGCTTGATTCCTGGCTTGCTTGCCAGCTTACATCCCGGCTCGCTTCCTAGCTCACTTCCCGGCTTGCTTCCTGGCTGGCTTGCCAGCTTGCTTCCCAGCTCGCTTCTTGACTTGCTTCCTGGCTCACTTCCTGGCTCGCTTCCTGGACCACTTCCCAGCTCAATTTCTGGTTCGATTCCTGGCTTGCTCCCCGACTTACTTCCCAGCTTGCTTCCCGGCTCGCTTCCCAGCTCACTTCTCCTCCCGGCCATCCCTGCTCTCTCGCCAATCAGCCCCGGATCTGAAACCATCTCTCCTTCCTCCTCCTCCTCCTCCTCCTCACCCCTTGGCAGACTTCGATCCCCCCGAGGAGCTGTGTGCCGTGTCCTGGGAACGCTTGCTTGACCGCTCGCTTGTCCATCCCCACCGTCCCTCCTCTCCTCCCCAGCAAACACCCTTCTCCGTCGCAGACCCGCCGCCCCGTCCCCGTCCCCATCCCCATCCCTGTCCCGAGCAGCGTTTTCCCTCTGCTATCCTCCCACCTCGGCCAGCGGGATTTTGCCCCCGGCAAGCGAGCGGGACTTATAAAACCTGTATGCCAAAGTCAGGAGGAGCAGAGCGGCGGCGGAGAGGAAGAGCTTTCCGGCCAGCTGCATGTCGGACTGCCAGGGCAGGGTTACCCGCTGGGGCATTTTTCCATGCCGGGAATGCAGAGAAGCCGATTAATGATTGCCGAGCGAGCCCGGAGCGTGGAGCTGAAGGTTCGGGGCAAGGTGACTTTGAGCGAGTAAAGCTAGCAGGAGGTTTCCGGAGAAGTTTTGCATGTTTGGGCTGGGCTGGGCTCCCGGGAAAAGGTGCAGCCCAGAGTTGGCGGCACAGAGACGGCTTTATTAGCCTGGTAAACAGAGAGGCTCAGAGCAAAGCAAAAGGAAGCACAAAGGGAGGAAAAGGATCTCCTCCAAGCAGCCCCATGGTGCTGCCGCCTCGTTTCTTTTGCCGTTTAAAAGGGCTCATGCAATGGAAGGGGAAAATAAGTTGTTTTGTCCAGGAAAGGTGTCTCATCCCTGGGTGCAGGTGCGGGGAAGGGAGGGAGAAGCAGCCTGGTGCCCGGCAGACCTTTGGTCTGACACCGAGCAGCTGCTCCGCCACAGAGGTGGGTGACTAATTCGGTAGCCTTCATTTGTGGCACACTAGCTAACGAAGGGTGACGGGAAATAGCCCGAAAGCCTCTGGGGTCTCTTTGGGGCCAGCTTGGAAGCGGCAGGGGAATTAAGAGCTGGTGGGAAAGGAGCTGGGGGCTTTGGGAGGGGGTAAAATCTGACGCCGAAGAGCAAATAAAGGCAGGAGTGAAACTGCTGCTGGTGACCACCGCGTTCAAAGACCTGCATCCATGTGCACGGGGAGAGGGATGAGCTAAAGTGAGCAAAAGCATTGAGACCACAAAGACATTTGGGATGGAAAGGGAAAGGTGCAAGTCATTGTTTTGAAGCGACGCACTGCTGCATGTGGGATGTCCGCGGGGACTGGAGTCGCTGTGGGGAAACTGAGGCACGGAGGATGCCAGACAGTGTCGCGTTTGCTTCTTTCTCCCCCTGGAAAGATGTCGGTGATGTGTCTGGTTCTGATCTGAATTTCAAAGATTTAGGGGAACTGTTGTCCCCATCGTCCCACCCAGGCAGCTGGGTCCCCACGCCTCGACCACGGCGCAGGGGGGGTTGGAAAGGAGGGGGCCTGGGGAATGGCATCCCTCTGCAACCGCCGCTAAGCGAGCTGAATTCAAAGGGATAAAATTAATTTCCTTTTCCCTGAGGGGAATGTCTCGCATGCTGAGAGTTGCATAAAGAAATGAGGCCCTGAGAGGCGGCAAAGAAACAGCCAAAATGTGGGTGGGGGTGGGCAGCCGCTCCTGTTTGCATGCAGGGACTCGCTCCTCGCTCGCTTGGTCCTGATCCCGTGGGATTTGCCAGAGAAATGAGCCCAGGGGATGCTAAAACAACCCCTTGTATGAGGTGTGGGTGTGACGGGTCCTGACTGCGTGGGCCAGCGTGGTGGGATGAGGTCTCGCCATTGGCGGTGAGCGCTCATGAGCTCATGCCCAGTGTCTGCAGCCTCCCAAACCGCATCCCGTGCAGCAGCTGATCTTCACCAGCATGAGCTCAGGCTCTGCCTGCTGCGATGGGGAGGAGCATCGGGACCTCTTTGGGGCACATTTCCCCACCGTCACCGCCATCTGCAAGCACTGAGGTGACCTCCCTACCAATGCTGAGGTGCTGCTTTTCACCTGAGGGCATCGCAGGGGGATGTGGTGGTGCAAAGGGGATGGGGGTGGTTGTGTATGTGCCACTAGTCTTTGCCATGGGTGCTCGTGAGGTGGAAGACCACGTGCTGAAGAGTGTAATTTTCATACGTATATAGAAAGAGAATGGCTTGGCAGTTGGGGACGCCTGTGCGCATCCCTGCTTTGAATAGGGAGAGACCACCAGTGGCTTTTAGGGGGCTGTTTGGGAGGTTGTCACCTTGTATGGGTGCAGCAAGGAAGAGGCTGGAGGAATGAGGACGTTTAGATTAAGAGCTGGACTGATGCATCCTGCTTGGTTGCAACTTGAGCTTGGAGCAGGGGCCAAAGCATCACCAGCCAAATCCCACCCAGTCACTCCCCTCCATCCTCTTTGGCATGGAGGATGCCAAAAATGCATCCCTCGGCTGCAAGGGGGGGCTTGGTCTGGCCAAAACCCCAGGGAGGGCATATCCCACCTGTCTGCAAATGTGGAGGGTCCTGAACTGGGGCACCGGGGACGTGCGTGGAGGCTGAGCATGTGTTTTGGGGCTCGGCTCATTGGCAAAGGGTCTGGCCACCTACGTGTGGCCGTGACCCTGGGTTTCTTCGTCTCTCACTGCTGTGGTTTTTAACCTGCAGGTACATCTGCAAAGATCCTTGCGTCCGTGAGCTGGGAAGTATGAATTATGCATGTGCTTGGTGGCCCTGTGAACTTGGCCATGGCAGTGACTGTGCCCGGTAATGAGGTGGAGGGAAGCAGGGGAAGCACTGAGCAAAGCCCTCCGGCGCTCCCGCCAGCATTCCCAGCCCCGTTGAGCCCAAGCATCCCTGGTTTTGTAATCCCCACCTTAACGTCCCAAAGGGCTGGGGGCTTGGATGAGCCCCGTGCCAGCCTGAGTGCGGTTATCCTCCTCATCGGTGGGTTTTTATGGATGTTGGGAGGGCGAAACATGGAGACCAGGGGGAGGCGAGGGGGCTTTTGGCGGGCAGCGTGCTCTGGGTGCTGTTGCCGTCACAAATGGCAGGATGGGAAGGACCAGAGCTCAACCACCGAGCTTGAGCTGCGGGGGCTGATGTGGGGAAGGAGGAGCCCCACAGCAAAAACGCAGGTCCGCCGTAGAAATGTATATTTATCTATGCCTTGCGGTAAGGAGGACGAGCAGCAGCGTAGGGGAGCCGGGGATGCGGCCGTGGCGTCTCCGAGCAGCGGTGACGTCTCGGCACTTGTGACTCTAATTGAATGTAATTGCCTCCTCCAAATTTTGCTAAAACCTTTTCAAAGTCCCCTGAAATTAGGGAACATCGATAACGCCGCTCCTTGGGGTTTTCAGCTCGCGTCATCCCTAAGAAGCGCGATTAATTTTTTACAAGCTAATCATATCTCTTAGGCAGGTTGTCAGCCGCGGATCTGTCATCTCTCATCAATAATGAAACAACCTGAGCAGCTCTTTCCCCTTCCAGCCTCCTGCATTATTCACTGCCAGGTCCTCAAACAACAGGGGGGGTGGGGGTGGGGGGGGAGCCAGGGATTTAATTGATGTCCTTAGTAATTACCTGTAGGAAGGTGGATGGGGATGGGGAGGCAGGGCTGGTAGATGAAGGATAAAAGGAGGCAGAAAGTGAAGGCAGGGTCCAGCACGTCACGGGAGGTTTTCTTTGGGTCACTGCTTTGGTGAGGTGGCATCTCTCCATGTCCCGCGTCACCTTGGGGGCACTTTGGGAAAGCAGGCAGCATCTCTGCCCAAAACGAGGAGTGACTCCCTTGTCCCCTCGGCCATTGCTTTGGCTGTGCTGGTGCTGAGAAGGTCCCATCCTATAGCCTGATCCATCGCCATGGGAAAAGAGCTAAGCATCCCCAATGCACTAAGAGGGGTGGATTTGGGATGCGGGACCTCCGAGCCCATCGGTCCTTTCCCAGTCGCTGGATGGGGAGGTCACATCATTCTTGAGCTGGAACCAAGCTGAGCTGGTTGATGGTGGCACTGCCTCTCTAATGCTCCTCATGTCCATGGTTCCGGGCTAAAAATCACCACATTTGCATTTAAATGGAGGTTTGGGAGTCTGTAAATCCCCATTTTTCGAAGCGAGAAGGCCTAATGGTTGTTTAATCACATTGGGATGAGGCCCCTGGAGCATCTCCAATCCAGCAAGGAGGGTGAGAAGCATCCACGCCGTGATGGTGGGGGCTCTCCTGCCTGCTTGGAGAGCATGAGGGTAAAGAAATCAGGCAGATTTCCCTAAAAAATAAAGGTTCCCTTAAAATATAAAGATTCATCTAAAAAAAGGTTCCTTTCTTGCCCAGGGAGGTGCAATGGGCTGGAGCTGTGACAGCGCTGGGGGAGGGAGCAGGGGTTCGGGCAGCTGGTCTGAAGGGGTACAGGTGCTCGGATGCTTCGGGATGAAAGCGGAACCACTGAGCCCCCTACATCCCAGTCAGTCCCAGTCTGCCCCTGCGTTGCTGCCAGCCCAAATTATTGCGTATGGAAAGAAACTCCTGAGCCGTCGTGTGTTTGTTCAGCTCCTTTGAGGGCAGGAAATCGCTCGCAGCGAGGTTGGCAATGGAGCATGGTAGGGACTGAATCTGCTTAATAATAATTAATCATAATAGTAATAATAATGCTTAGCACTCGTACGGGGCTTTGCAAAGATGAAGCGCCACATGGCTGCTGGCTAATCCTCTAGGATTAAGAGTTCCCGGAGGAAAAGGCAGGGGAGAGCCCCGTCCTCGGGCTCCTCTCTCCCCATACCAACTCCCCAGGGATCCCAGCCCGGGGCTGGATGCTCTCAGGGCACCGTGGGGAGGGAAAGCAGCCGGGCAAACCACCAGTATCCCCCAGCACTGGGCAGGATTGAGCCAAAACCACCTTTTTTTTGCAAAGAGCCATCCTGCAGCAGGATTAACGCTGTACTGGGGTGTGCCCGGCGGCACAGGGTACTGTAGGAATGGCCAGGATCTGGCCATGCCGCGCCTTTATCTGTTTCCATGGTGACAATTAGCCAAGAGGGATGGGGAGGGTGGCATGGACCAAACGTGGGTGCAGTGCTTTCAACTTGGCTGGTGCCTCCGCGCCGGCACTGCCCGACGGGACACGTGCTGCCCGCTCATGTGTGAGCGCTGACATTTGGGGTTGGGAGCCGTCTGTCACTAGACATTGACCGTCCAGCCTGGGACGTGTCGTGCACAGTGCCCGTCTTCCAGCAAAGCCGATTTGCCCCAACCAAGGTCCTGGGGTATAAGGCCAGTGATCCGCAGCTTTTGGGCTCCCAGCGTCATCGTCCACGTGTAGGACTCGTCCCCAACAGCCCTCACGCTGGGGACACGTGCGGTCCCTACCCTGGGGAGCTGAGACCTGGAGCAATTCGGTGCAGTGGGAATAGTGTAAATGGATTTTCCCAGGGGAAATCTGGCCCTTGCATAATAGACGCTCCCCCCCTCCAAGACCCTGCAAAGCCTGCGGGTACCCCAAAATGGTTCTGGGTACCCCAGCGCAAGGCAAAACATTAAGCACAACCTTCTACCAGGGGAGATTTTTCTTTTTCCTTTTAATTAAATTGTCTGAGGAAGCCAAGACACAGACAGAAAGAGACCGAGACTGTAAATAGTATAGAAAAAAAAAAAAAGAGAGCAAGAGAACCGATTGACGGAGGTGTAAATGCCAGGTGGAGCCGTACGGAGGAAGAGGAGGAGGAGGAAGAGGCAGGCGAAGCTTCACGTTAGCTCCAGGATCACTGTTAGGGTGAGCGCCAAAACTAGTCTGAAGCCGCAGTGGCTGGTAAGTGAACCTGGGCAGGAGGAGAAAGGGGATGGAGTTTAGGGAGCCACGTCTCACCGCTTGGGTTCGAACTAGGATGGGGTCACCAATACTCACCGTTGGAGTCCTCTGTTCCTCTGGGAATATTTGGGTTTTCTAATGGGAAAGAAATAGCAGAGAGACAGTTTTACTGGGGGGGAGGTCAGTGAGGATTTATGGAGGGAGGGGTCACCCCCCCACGGTGCCACCGTACCAAAAACGATGAGCCGCGTGTGGGTGTCGGTGGAGCCCAGGGGGTTCTGGGCGGTGCAGCGGTACATGGAGCCGTTGAGCTCAGCCGGCACCCGCTCCAGCACCAGCTCCTTGCCATCGTGCTCGGCGCTGCCATCGAGGAGCCGGCTCCCCACCCGGGTCCAGGTGAAAAGGGGCTCAGGGAAGACTTCATTCTGTGGGGAGATGGGGCTGTCAGATGGGTGTAGGGGGTGAGCAAACCCCGTCTCGCAACTGGAGCAAGGACAGGGTACAACCCAAATGCTGAGGGGTGCACCAATGTAGGGACCACGATAGACAACCCAAGGCCACCAAGCCAACCCCATAAAGGGCTGGTGTGGATGCAAGGTTGTCCGTTGGCACGACATCGCTCCACAGCAATGGGGATGGATGGGGATGCTGACCTGGAAGCCCTGCACCAAGATCCGCACAGTGTCTCCAACACGGGCTCTTGTAGGGGTCATCGTGATCTTCGGGCCCTTGGGAGCAACTGCAAGGGAAGGGGACAAGAAGGAACATCAGCCGAGCAAGGGGTTCCAGTGCTGTTGGGTGCCCTTGGCCAGGGTTAATGATGGTTTGATGAACAATCGTGGCAAGGGGGCGGCAGTGTGTGCCAGCCGATGGGGCTGATGGCTGAGTGATTGATGGACAAGCTGACGGACGTCCAAATGACTGACAGACAGGGAGGCAAGGATCCCACAGGCGGATGAACGGGAAGATTGATGGGTGACTGTAATGGGATGCATTGGTGGTGAAGAACATATGTCCTAATGAAGCCCCTCTCTGCTCAGAAACAGGGGTCAAGAGGGGTCAGGCTGGTTCGAAGCCATGGAGATGGACACCTCGGAAAAGCAGCCCCAGGACAAGGTGGCCTTGGTGAGTCACGCACAAGCGCTGTTAGCATGGGAGACAGCCACGAAGCCTTGCTGCCAAGGACAGCCCTGTAAAGAGGAGGGGACCTCTTTTCCCACACCAGACTTGGGGTGCCCTTGCCTGGTGCATTGCAGGGATGCAACCAGCCATGCTGGGATGACACCACACCGGGTCTGCTCTTTGCTCCCAGCTGGGTCAGGGTTGCGTGGATGTTCCTCCTGGGCCATGGGTGGGACGGGACAACCCCAGGAGGTGCCTGGGCTTGGCACGGAAGGAGCCTTTTGCAGGTTCAAGGGGAAAAATGGGCAGGAAGGGGGTCGTGCTTTGCCGAAAGCGGGTGTCTCACCCAAGTGCCGCTGTAGATGGGACAGGCTGAGCCTGGCCACCACCACAGCACAACAAAGGGACAAAGAGCCACCAGAGAACACACTGGTCTGTGCCAGCGGGTGGTCGCCCTCAGAAAGGGCATCCATGTCGCAGGATGCTGAGCATGGACATGCACCAGAGACCACGGCTGTGCTCCTGGACTGCAGTATCCACGCAGGATCTGGCCCTCTGGTGTTAAAGCAGGGGTGATGGGCTGCGGGTGATTACACCGTGCTGGGGTCTGTACTGAAAGAGTGCTTTCTCTACCAAAGCAAATGGTTTGTCTTGGTTTCAATGCGGCTTTTATTGAGAGTATATATAGTGTATATATACTATTTATAGATAGGGAGGGGGTAAATGGGGCGATCTGCTGTGAGGGTGCCAAAAAACTGGGTGTGGATGGTGGTGGTGGGGTGCCCATTGAGGTGCACAGGCTGGAGGCATCCTGGGGGATGAGGAGAGCTGTGGATTTGTGCGGGCTGTGTAGGGTGGGCTTTGCCATTACAGGTATTGGAGCTACTGGGGACGAAGCAGGAAGCCATCAAAGTCTTGGCCTCATGGGGAGGCCCAGAGAGTGGACACCAAAGCTGCAGAAAATGTGAAAATGCAGGACTTACGTTATTTTTTGGCCAATTGTATGCTGGGAGAGAGCTTTAATGCTCAGTGGGGAGGAACAGATAATGGAGGGCCATCTATTAGCAAGAGAGCTGCTGCCCTTCTTGTTGACTGCCAACCTCCCGTTGACCTCCTCATTGCTGCCAACCTCCCACTAATTGAGGTGGTTGATGAGCTGAAGGAAAAGAGACGGAGCACCAGCGCCGAGAGGCTTGTGCACACTGAAGCCCGCGCCAAAGACGGGTGGAAAGCCAACGAGGCGAAGCTCTCCAGGAGATGGTGCATCATTGCTGACGCAGTGAGCCAAGTGCCCTACTTGGCCAGGAGCAAAGCCCAGTTTTCTCCACCTGGCTCAAAGGGAGGAAGGCCAGAGCAACCTGCCCAGGAGGGTGCCCTGAAGCTGGGGCCACCCTGGTGGAGAGCTCAGCCTCTTCTGATGGGGAGCCAGGAGAAGGTAGTGGAGCCGCAGCCTTACCTGGGGGCAAGGCCCCACTACCTACTCTGCTCACCAGCTCTCAAGGTTAACTTGGGGAGCTTCTGCTTTTCTAGGGTCCTGGGCATGCGGGGAGCGAATGGGGCAGCCCTGACCTCAGTCTCACCACCCCATCGCAGCTGGGGCCTCACCAGCCCCACAGGCTGCCCCTGTGCAGAGGCCAACCTGGCCTCTCCCGAGCAATCCCCGCTGGGATGAGTTGGGTGGTGATGGCCAACAAGGGTGATGGCATGTCCTCAGGTCTCCTGAGATGGGGTATAGATGGATGGAGGCGACATCACTATGGAGTAAGGGTGTTCCCCCACCCCAACATGACCCCAGTCCAGGGGAGCTCCTCCGTCCCGTCCCATCCCCTCCCGGAGTTACACCCCATAGGAGGTAACATTAAGGGGCTACCAAGTTCCCCACCTGCCCTGCAGGCAACCAAGGCAAATATCCCCCAAACAGCCGGTCCCCCCAACAGAGCCCCCACCCCCGGCTTTAACACCCCTCTCCCTGCACGTGCCTACACCCCACGCAGCCCTGGCTCCCCCCAAACCAGCCCTTTGTTGTCCCCCCTGCCCCAGTCCTATGCCCCCCCTCTACATGCAAACACCCATTCCCTTCTCATAGAGGGGCCTTCATGCAGCACAGCCCCCCCCACCCCCACCCACCCCACCGTCGGACATCACCCCAAACCCCCACACCATGATTCAACAGTCTCCTCCCAACCCCAGCCCTATATCAACCCAACAAACCCCACTATAGCGTCCCACACGGCTGGGGGGGCCCTCTGCACCCCCCCTCTGCAGGGTCAGGGCTCACTCCCCTCTATGGGGCACCCTGAGGCTATGAGGACTTGGGGGGCAGCAGCCCCACAGCTTCTTTCCTTACCTCCCCCATGCACGAGGGGCTCTGCACCCCGCAGATCCCAGGACAACCCCCCCAAACACCCCTATTGCCAGCACCCAGCCCGGGCTCAGCCCCCCCAAACTGCCCTTGCCCTCCTCCCCCCTGCACCCTCTCCCGCCCCACACAGCCCCTCCACGCTCTGTCTCCCCTAAAACACACAGCAAACCTTTTCTTTTGCCTGATGACATCCCCCCCGCCTCCCCCAAAACCCGCTGCCCTCAACCCTACTTTTCGGGGAACCCCGGCATCACCCCTTCCTCCCACCACGCAGCTCTATGTGGCATCCCACTGTAACCTGTAAGTGCCTGAAAACCCCCAAAAGAAAAGCAAAAGTGCAAAAAGTGCAAAAAAAGGAAGCCAAAAAGGAAAAAAAAAGAAAAAATTGCAAAAGAAAGAAAAAAATTGCAAAAGAAAGAAAAAAAATTGCAAAAGAAAGAAAAAAAATTGAAAAAAAATTTACACAATAAAAAAAAATTGCGCAAATTGGAAAAGAATGCAAAAAACCCCAAGAAATCCCCCCAAACTCAGCCGCAGCGGCGGCGCTTACCGAGCGTCACCTCGGACTGCATGGGCATGGAGAGCGCCGGGTGCTTCACCTCGCAGCTGAAGAGCGCCTCGTTGTCGATTTGGGGGTTCAGGGTCCAGGTGAGGGTGGCCCGCGCCTCCACCGTCCCGTCGCTGACGGGTGCGTGCGTGTGACGGAAATAGTAGATGGGCTCCGCCACGTGCACCCACCGCGGGAATTCCCGGCTCACCACTGTTTCGGGGATGGTTTCGGTGACGGGACCCCGCTCGGCCGCCAGCCCCCGCCGGGGGGCCGCCCGGGCTAGAAGCACGCCCCCCCCC